TTAGATTCATTATGAATACTCTGCCTAAACAACCTAACAAAGATGATCGATAATCTATTTTCAATGTTCGTCTTATATAGAAACATACAAATAGGTCCAATTGATAATAATATTATACTATTGCTAAAGCTGGCTCCACTCTTGGAACATTTTTAGAAATATTTTAATTCACTTGAAAAGCATTCGATTATAGCCTGAAGAAAAATATTGATTAAAAATTATTCTAATCACTTTAGGTAAGCCTTAAAGCCTTATTGCTTTAGCAGCTTATGTATTCGATATTATTGCATTAGGTACCTTGTACCAAATACAAATATCAAATGATATACTTTTCTGCCTTCGGTTCAGCTCAGCTGATAAGCTCACATCTTCACTAGTAGTGCAATATTGTAGGCTGACCTAATTTTTTTACATGTACATTGTTCTAATTTCATGCGTAAAAACGGTTTATTAATCTTGACAACGAAGCAAAACAATGATCGCAAGGCTGTGAGATTACTGTTTATAACAATTTTAAACCTGAAAACTAAACTTGTTTAGCAAACAATACGAGATAACTAACAACCGGTTTTCCATTCTTGCAGGGAGTGTTTGTCGCTGTTTTGTATTGTTTCACAAACTCTGAGGTAAGTCTACAACACGTGTACAAATAAACATTTTTTATGTGCCCAACAAACTTTGTTTTTGCTTATCTTTTATATTCTCGGTTTTATAATTTATAGGAATTTTCTATGAAGTTTGTTTGTAATTTATTCTCTTTGATATTTATAATATTTATTTGTGATCTATTCTAAGTTTATTATTTAGATCTGCATCAATGACAGTAAAAATGTTCTCTACTTAACAGTGAGATTAATGGGCACTGGACTCACATTCTGTGTGTCGTAATTTCATATCACATTACCGTCCTCCCAGTCTTGAGGGAGTTATAATATAAACATTCAATCCCATCTTTCGTTGGTAAAGAGAAATCCAAGAGTTAGCGGTGGGTGCCACTGGGTGGCGTTAAGTAGCTGTCTTCCCTCTAGTCTATTACTCGTAAATTAAGGACTGGTGTCATAGATAGCCCCCTAGTAGCTTTGCGCGAAATTTAAACAAACTTTTAGAAAATGACTGTATCTTTACCCCCGCCCTCGTGTAAATACAACGTTAACATTTACAGAAGCGAAATAACGTGAACATAAATAAACAACTATACAGGTCAGAAATGTACCTCCTCACCCAAACGTCGAGACCAAAAACCGACGAAGACATTGACTTGACTATATCTTTTACGCTAACCCCACACGTTAGTGCATGTCATAATTTCATCAACTGCTTTACTGTCAAAATTTAACTAAGAAATTGTTCTAACATTTCTTAAAACTGTGCTTTAATATCTGGTTGTCCTTATAGGTACAAGCAGCGTTACGTACTGCCTATCTTCGAACAAATCTTCGGCGGCACCAGAACACGTTTCACATGAGCAGGAGATACTTTTCTCAAACATCTTCTACCTATATGTCAAACCTTGATGCTTCAATAGGTGACAATTCTCACCAGAAGGAACTTCCAGAAACAAAAACTTTTCTCGAGAACAAACTGATATAAAATTAATAATGTCAAGAGAATTATGACAGTGAGTCTTTAAAACTTCAGATTTTTGTTATCAAACAATAGGGCAAATTAATTGAGTTCTTTAAATCCTTTTCAATCCACAATAAAGTAACCTAAAATAATTGAGGGACTTGAATAATATTAGAGCACGTGTCTAAATCATTATTTCACATTATATATTGGACCAAGTGTTTAATGATTACATATATATATTTTACAGGTTTCCTTTCAATTTCACCAAAGGTAAAAATTGGTGAAATTAAAAGGAAATCTATAACACATGTATATAATATGGCAAATTGTTTACAGCATTCTTTACCTTCTCATAAAATTAAACACACGTGGTTCTGATTTAAGGTAAACGTAAACGCTTCACTAAACAGACCCCCCCCCGTGGCACAGCGGTATGTCTGCGGACTTACAACGCTAGAAATC